ATTCCGCCGAGCTGATAAAACAATGGTAAACCGCTTCCATCCTTTTCATTTGCATGGATATTTGCCTATAGGAGTATTAAGTATCTAATCAGCTATATCGAATGAGTTAAAGTACGTTTAAATTAATTCCGGTAATTGTTGAAAAATTTTCCAATCTAATTTGTCGAATATATTAACGAGTAAACTTAAAGAGAAGTTTTATAATAAAAAAATATTCTCACACCAACACAAACCTATATGTATATGCATACATACATAATTGTTGCAAAAAACCTTATTGTGTATTTTGATTACTATTATTTTCTTATTATATATTATTATAGAATGTGGAAAGCTATATTATCATTGGAAAGCTATGTCTGTTAAGGGAAGATTCTAGTGTAACAGGTCCAAAAAATCGATTTTTTATTGCTTAAATCAAAAATACAATATTTTAAAAATATGCTGCTAAAATGTTAAAGTCGAATTCGGAAAAATAATGAAATTATAGCCCATTTAGTGAGATACGTCAGAGTTCGGAATGACAAGCGGTCGGTGTAAGCGATCAACAGTAAGTATAAAACCGTAACGATTTCTATGATTGGTCTATAATTGTGTTTGGGAACGTGTAAAATCTTTTAGAATCTTCTAAGTATAATTTTTTATTCAGATATACAGGGTGTCTAACAGAAAAGTCCTGTACCATTTTTTCCTATAACGCTTAATAAAGGAGTTATTATTGAGTAAAGTCTGGTCAATCAGCGCAGACTTTTAGCCGGACGCACGTCAGTGAGCCGCACAACAATAACAGAAATATATAAATCTTATATATATTATAAAATAAAAAAAACGAATATTTTATTATATGTTGTTGAGAATTAAAATCACATATACCTTGAAAAAATTATTTTTTTTATGTTATTAATAATATTTAAAAGAGACTTAATTAAATAAATTAGGTATAATAAAGTCCATATATATTATTTTATCAGGTGAGATCGCAATTTATAGAGTCAACCCCGATATATAGACGGGTGTCGTTTGGGGTTGAGCAGTGAAAGGGTTAAGGCAACTCAGTTTACTGTGCTCTACTTGTTCACGAGCGTTGTCAAGGGTGCTTTGGGACACCCTGTATATACAGGAATCATTTTTAACTTGAATATTTTTTTATATGTATGTTGTCATTCACGCAGACAAAGATCATATTTAGTATTGCTTCACATGCCTGTACAGACAAGTATAAACATGTCTTGCAAAGGAAGCAAAGACAATAGTTTTTGTCTGTCAAGACCGCGAAAGAAGACGTTTAAAGGAAACCAATATATTTTCGAAGTGAAAACTGAAGCAAGTTCTGCGGCAAAAAGATGGAAAGTCTGCGGATGACGATTTTATTATAAATCAGACTCATGGCTATTGATTTATCGAAATGTTCACCGTTTTCAACGGTCTTTCACAAATGCTAATTTGTAAAAAGTGTAATTTGTAAAAAGAAAGATATAAGTTTGAGTGAAACGGGAAATCTCTCTCGTGGATTAGAATTTAAAATCGCCGCCACGTGCTCGTGTGGTGTTGGAAAAATCAATTCCTTTTATAAAGGCTCTATTACCTTGTACTAAATATAATGGAAATACACACAATATGGGCATCGTTATCGGACAATAAT